CACCTTCAAGAATATTGGAAGATTCAAACAGTAATCGAATAATTCCTAATTTAGAATTGAGCCTGCTTCAACACACCTCTTATATGCCATGAATAACGGCATCTAATGTTTGGCTTAACATTGTACATAATAGTCATTTCTCATTACCAAAATGACCAAATCTGTGAACTGGTTTGTATTCATGTAACCTGTGTTGTATGAAATGTGTGTGTGACTGTATCATTATCTGATTTTCTCGGACATTAGTTTGTGACACTCGACTTCAGCGAATACCCTCCTCTAACCATTCCTCACTAAGCAACCGTTTGCTTGCGTCCCGCGGAGAACCAGACGAACTCACCAAGACGTTTCGATTGATGAAGGGTGGTATGGTGAGGTGCAAGAGAATAACTAACACAAGATTCCGCCCCACCAGTTATTAGCTCCTTTGTCATTGCAAAACAGAGTGGCATGCAGTCACACAGATACGGTTTGTAGGCGCTAGCTGTCATGATCTTTCGCCTGCATCTCAGTCTTGCAAACGATCTGTAGACACATGATCGTGTGAGGTAGAGTAAACAAGCGTGACTTGGTTCAACACTGGGTTCTTGAAAGGCCGCTTTCACCGGTCGAATCAAATTTTTGGTCAACCGGTTAAAAATCAATTGTCGATGGAGCAGAACAGGCTTTATCCTAACCGGCTTCCGTATCAGGAACCCACGGATCACCGCCTTCTGTGGTAGCTAGCCTGCGTTCAAGTAAAGAGAGCGAAAGGCGGCAATTAAAATGCAAAAATTCACTCATTTCCGGGCAGATCAAAGCCAGATCATCGTTCCCTTACTTTATATAACGCCCAGGAAACCGACGGAATTCGGAAAGATGACAGACACCTCCATCTGTTTTTGCTCTGAACAATCATTCTCTTAAGTTCAAGGAAGACTTAAAGGTTAGCCTCGTCATTAAGCCGTCTCCAATGTTAGATATTTTAAGCTGAATTCAGCGATATATAATATAGTGACACAATTTTTGAAGGAATCCGGTCGTTGGTTATGAACAACTCACCACCCCATTCAGAAGACAAGAACACGATAACCAGATGATTTGGATCAAATCTTCGCCTTTCCTTGCTGAGGGGAATCGGCCTACTCCTTATACCTTATCACCATTTCACTTAGCCTAACGGCCATAATAGTTACAACTCTGGTCATGGTACTTCCCATCAACTAAGAGGAAGGTTATATGGAGAAAAATGAATCAAATAAGTGTACCGTAAGGACCATGAACTCTCTCCTGATCGAATGTACCAATCTGAAGGACATTTGATGCCAGACAAATCACCGATGGTGGAATACCGTAGTTTGCTAAGCAAAGTGAACTGATTGATGGACCCTTGCTAGTTTTTGGCCGAAATGATGACATCCTTAGGCTCATGAGTTACAGACTTTACCCGCTGTAGCAAACGCTGGATTGGGATAGTTGGTAGTTCACCTTAAAGCTCCATATCACGGTTTTTGTCAGTTATGCTTCCCGTCTAACCGACGTGCCTGACACGTTTTCATAAAGCAATCATTTGGACGATAGGCATTACTGACAGGATTGCAGGTGCCAGCTTGCAAGATACTGTATGGGTTTTCAAATAAAACGGTGTCGACCAATAATTTTGGGGGGGGGGAATGCTCGAAGTATAGAGTGGTAATGGTCCTTTCTTGTGACTGCGTAAACATCTGAACAGTAAAGACCGGCCAAAGAGCTTGAGGTTTATGTAGCCTGAAAGATAAATCAAATCGCGACTTCTGAAAGTCGCTGACATACAAGATAATGGCTTGTATCCAGTCTGTGATTGGATCCTGTCCAAAAATAAAGGGCGGCGTCAGGAGTAACAAGGATTTTAGCGTCAGTGTCTCAAGTTTGTCCGATCGCCAGCGTGCTACAACAGTGGCTAGATTCGGAGGCACCGAACAAATGGCTCTGCCAATTCACTCTCAGCGTTCATTTTGCACGTGACTGGCCTGGAATATGCTTGTTTAGCTTTCCCACTACCGTGGGTGATACACTCCTGCAATAAACTTGTCACCAACTCGCCGTGAGTTTGTCCAGCGGTTATTGGCTTAGGCACGCGGTCTTGCTTGTTCAGTAATAAACTCTGACTTTGAAGTGATTCGTTCCCAGTATATATGTGCAGTCTCACACACTTAGTTCACTCACATGATTGGTCACACAATTCTGCCCTCGCTCCCATCCCAGCAACTACGGACGACAGAGTACGAAGCTCTTGTCTGTTGTTCTCATATTTTGAGCGGCATCATTCACCTATGTACATGAAATAATTATATTGCCACGGCACACCAGAAATTTTAAAAATGGAAAAGTCGACTTAAAGAACAAAATATGGGATACTGCCTAACACTTGGCTTGGCTCAACACCCAGTTGTTTCCAAAATACAGGTTAAGTGGGAGTGAATGAGGAATCAAACAGAAACCCTTAATCCTGGCTCTGAAACATGCTACCAATCAAGCCATATGTGAACAGACTTTGAAAAATAAATAGGGTAATACGACCGGCGACACATCTTAGATTCGCGATTTTGGATTTTCGGCCGATATACAGCCTACCCTCCTTTTGAGGATTTATTGGTGCCGTCATTAATCTAGATTAAGAAACAGTCTGTCCGGTTTACGCCACTCGCTGCGTGACCTTTCCGGAGGCAGGACCAAACTTTCTCTCCGTTTGGATTCTCCAGTGATGTGGCCATATATTTGTTTCTGTCAGAAGCCTCAATTACATGTTACAGTTTCGCCTTCTTTCTTCCCCCCGGGTCCCGATAGCAACAGGGCCGACAAACACTTGAAACCAGCACTGGGTTGGAGCTTGCCAGGAGCGGAGTTCAGGCCTTCGTGGAACGTTGGGTATCTTTGGATAAAAGACATGTCCTGTATCATTTCATGCATATGCTTTAGGTTTCCTCATAGTAACACATCCCATAGTGTTCCGGATCACGCTTGAATGAATCCAGTGTGAATTCGTTGCAGTCGGCCAAGAGATGCCGGGGAACACCTTCAAAACAGGTTTACGGCCACTCACATAAGTGCCATACGCTGAACATGCAGCACTTAATGCAGCGTACCAAAACTGCGATTTTTCGGTTGGATGGATGGCGATGAGGCCCAGGTCATGTCGATGTGTCAGGTGACTTCAGCCAATAAAGGATCGGTTCACAATTTTCGCCGCACAATCTTTCATTCAGTAAAGCTTCATAATACCACATCTTATAGATACTTCGAAAACTATTTAGGCCAGCCTCAAAGAAATTCTTGCATATTTTCTACTCAAAACAATTTCTCCTGTAACAAAGTACTTCCTTGTGCTTGGTCCTGTGAGACTCATGGCACTCGTGTTTCTTGAAGGGGCAGATGTGAAGAAAGTGTCACGGATCACACCGCCAAACATCTGTTAGAGGGTTGGTAAACTGTGCTCAGGCGAAGTCTTTCACCTAATTCTTACGTCTGCTGCTTGGCCGGATAGCGCTACCGGACGTCGGATATGGTTACTCTCCGTTATTTTCCGCCACTGCTGTCCCACACTGGCGAGGGGCTCGGATACCGAACTGACCATTGCAGGTTGGTTTACGGGCCTTGTTCAAGTCGGGTCAAAGTTCCCGTCTGAGTACCAACATCGGTGAGTGAACTAAGGTCTGAGAAAAACAATAGCAACGTGAACTGATCATCAGAGGGAAAGTATAGGTTGAGCCCTCCTCATTGTATATTGAGTCGACCCACACAGTTTGGGCAATCTCCACTAGTTTCTTCCACCAGTTTCAGAGTGATAGGGAAAGCGAGAAAACAGTGATTACTTGCCAGAAATATTATTCAAAATTTCACTGCTATCATCAAAACTAACGTCTCTGAGGTGATTTGGAAGGGTTAGACTCTTTCACTTTGAATATCCATTGGATGCCACCTTTGTGGTGAGATAAGAGCTTCTGCAACAAAATCGGTAGAGCCACATTCGACACCAAGGAGATCTTCCGTTCGCTCGAACCATGACCCAAATGCGAAACCATTTCCTGTATAAATATGCAATCCGGGAGTTGAAAGTAGAGTGGATTCAAGATTCTTCTTTCGTAGGGCCACCAAGGACTGGGATGATAATCCAATGGCCAGGGCTTAAGTGGGACTTGCTCGGGTTTCCGAAAATAGTTTTGCAGTTTCAGTCGCCGCTGCTGCAATGGGATCAGGACTTCCCCAAACGACGGATAAATCCTTCAAGAATGGGAAGGCACAACTGGGCGTCCGTAGTGAGCCGTTTGCAGCTGACACCCGCAAACAGCGAAACTTGATTTTCGAACAGTTTATTGCCATCCTTTTCAGTGGCTTCAGGGGGAGTTATGAAATGAAGCAGAAACTCGCCATCCTCATCCAGGCCGGAGGTTGGGCCAGGGATGAAAGCGATAAATTTCATACGAAGAGAGCCTACAACGGTTCAGACTTGGACCCTAGGGAATAAGTAAGGGCTGTTCACGCATCATTAAGTTGCAAAATAGAAAAATGCAATGCTAACAAGGTATCTTCTTACCCCAGTAAGCAGCGAACGTGGGCAAATAAAGTGGTTTCTACCTGCAAATAGCTGTGATGTGTGATATTTTGTGCATTCATAGACGAAGAATTCTAGGATCAAAAGGCTCGGGTTCAACCGGGGTCCTCTATTTGTCGTCTAATTTTATTTGAAATGGAAATCGTAAGTAAAGTTATGCAGTAAATAAATACGGTCATATCTCCCGGGGCAGGTGGGCCAGACCAGGGGTGGCGGACAGATGTTCAGAAATCCTAGGCTGTCCTCTGGATGTGACTGCATTGGCCACCCTTCATAGAAAATAGGTCGCCGTCAGATGGTGATGGAAGTTTTCACTGTCGTGCACGAAGACCGAGAAAAACGTTTTGTCTAAAACTATGGACTGATTTAACTTGCCTCATCTGCTGCCGGAAGTATTCTATTATTGATAAATGAATTGCCCAAGACAAACTTTTTCTGAGCCAACTGCTGTCTGATTCATAGAGTAAGCTCAGACTGAACAAACTGTATAACTCTAATTTGACCGTACGCGGAGGCGGGAATTAGTCCATTAGAAGCGAAAATGCCTTACAAATTGTGTGTACAGATTTCATTTACACCTTCGTGTGGGCAAACCCCAGTTAAGTGCTTGGAAAACTTCAAACTGTAGATATAACGGAGCCTTGTTGAAACGTCAACAAGAACGTAATAAAAACAAATTACCAGCAGTGGGGTTTAGGTCACCAACGTCTCCCCGATACACAGCTTTCAATAAGACGACTGAGAGACTAACAGGATCTTTCGATTTATTACCTTCTTTTGAAATCGTGTTCTCGTGATCTAAAGGCATGGTGACAGACTGGCAAGCACATGGATACTAACCTTCTCCAAGATGTGAACAAACTATACGGATGGATCAAGAAAATACCATCCCTGCATCAATTTGAATCAAGATGTTTGTGAAGCTGAACAGCAGAACTATTCAGAACACTTTGCAGCTAGCATATTAGGCCATACCAGGAGAGACGGTCGGCTCTTAGCGTTCAATCCCCGAAAGAGAAATTACCTTTTCAGAACAAGCCGAAAAGCTTGCGACTGCCAGATTGGTCGGACAAGTATGCAAACTATATCCATTCCATTTAAGCATAACTCAGAGAACCTGTTCACCAAAGTCGCTGGCTGTATGCTTTGACTCTGGGGTATTACTCACAGAAGCCCTTACAACATGATGCTATGTAAAAGATCGAATAGGAGGTGCTATACGATCCTGTGAAAGTAAACCACAGTCCTCCACACTGCGAATAAATAACAACCTCCAAGAACGCCACAGACAGTACTAGTTGCAAAAGAGCCATCTAGTGAATTAATGTATGCCGACATAATTATGAACACTACCGCTACACCAGCACCAGGGTACCATTAACTATCAAAGACAGAGGCTTACCAGTCCAGTAGGGACCAATCTCCACACAAGTCCCCCTATCTCCTTTGGCTCAGAACGCAGGATTTTGGCATGTCCCCGCAGAGATGCAAGAGGTCCTAGAAGTAAAACACTGAAGCTAAGAAAAGTGTGTCACAATCTACATGCAGAAATAGTTTTCGTCACGGAGACATGGCTCTCATCAGACACCGTGGATCAGAAAATATCTTTGTCCACATGACGTTGTTCCAAAAAGGCGGGCAGCTCAAAGGAGGTGGAGGGGCTGTCATGTAGATCAGCACGTACCTAAAATTCAAGGAGGCTGCCGACGGTGCGATTAGCTAACTACCAGGCTCCCTATAAACCAGGCATCTACTGAGAGTGGCATATGGGCCCCCTCTGTGTATGGCCGAGTATACGGCACAACTGGTCGCCACGACTTCAGCGTTCTATGGCCATGTAGTCCTCATCGGAGACTTCAACACACCGGCACCAAACCAAGGATGCGAAGTGATCTGTGAACATAAATCTTTTGAATATTGACTAAACGCGTTCATGACTGCAGGACCGACAGAGAAAGTTCGGAAAAACACCCTACGGGGGTCAGATGGAAAGGGATCACCACTTGACTGCATCCAAACAGGCAATGGTCTTTCGGTGGACGATACCTGTTTCCAGCCTCTCCTAGGCAAAAGCGGTCACGATTTCGTGAGGTTTTCCCTGAAAACCAAGGAGAAACCACCAGTAGTTGATCCAGAAGCGTCCGACTGTTAAGGAAAGGCAGACTGCAATCTCATGAACACTGACCTCCTCGAGGCTACGCGGCAGCAAGAACGGGGCCCGTCATCAATAGACAAACGTCAGATGCGCATTACTGACATTACCTGGTGCGCTATCGAAAAGTGTTTCGAAATTAACCAGACGGTTGACTTTGAAAAGGTCTTGGATAACTCGCACAACCCAAAGGCAAATAAAGAAGGAAAAGGAGGCACGGTATTGGTGGCGCACATCATGTAACGAATCAGACTTTCCAAGCTACAAGAAGTAACCCAACTTATGTAACACAAGTGCTCTCGAAGGCAGGTACGAATACCAGAGTAACCTAGCCAGACAGATGAGTTCCAATTCAAAAAGCCTGTATTGGTCTGTGTCACAGCGCTGGACATAGGACCTGCTGGAGAACATTAGAATGGCAGTGAGGTAGCGGAACTGTTGAGCAGCCGATTTGATGGATAGCTCAGCACACTGATGCATCCCCTATCAACATCTAGCAGTGTGACGAAGTTCTAGGTCTGTGATACCAGACTGATTAGTGTAAATATTTCGACAAACCAAGTGTTTGCGAAACTTTCAAAACAGACAACAGGGAAATTTCCCGGTTATGACGACATAGGACCTGTGGTTCCACGAAATTATTTCGAAGTGCCAATCATACCCATATGTGACCTGTAAACACAGATAGGAAGTAAGCCAACTCCTCAAAGAATGGAAACTCGCTGTCCTTTCACCAAACTCTAAAACAGTAGACCGAAGGACTCGTGCAGTTGCCGACCAATGTTGCTACTTCCCAAACCATCCAAGGTACTGTAAGGCCTGGTTCCAGATGTTATTTGAGGCTACCTGAAGGGAAACAAAGTCGTTCATCCCATCCGACATGGTTTCAGAACCTGGCGGTCGCGTGCCACAGACTTGGTGACAGCTTGAGATGACTGGAGCACTAGATGGGACAACAAGCAACCAGTTCAGGTTATCTTTCTGGACTTGGTCAGAGCTTTCGAAAGCGTCTCACACCACACCACGCCATGCTCGCTTCACTTGCGAAAATGGGCGTCGCCGAACCTCTCTCAGTATATCTAGAGGACAGAGAATTCTGTACTAAAGTAAACAGAATGCGACCACCCTGGTGCGGTGCAAAAGCGGGAGTTCGTCATGGAGTGACCGCCGGTCCACTCCTGCTTTGACTAGTTACCAATGACCTTACCACCAGTAAACCTATTCATCTATCCCCCTATTTACTGACATCAAAATTTGGAGGGCAGTGGGTAAGGAAGAGGACCCTAGGATACTCCTAAGCGATCTGTTGCAGCTGAAGTCGCGGTCAGATGTGAATGGCCTAAGCGTTAACCCGAAGAAACACAGGGTGGCGTGTCTTCGCACACCAGAAGCCGTGAAAACCACCTAAACCCTCGACAACTACGCAGTCACCGAAGTATCGACAGAGAAGGACCTACGACCAAACTTCTCCGACACACCGAATACCAGTGCAGACCACAAGGGAGTGGCAGCAAAGGTGAACATCATCGTGCGCTTCCTAATAAGACGGTCTGGAGAGCTGACCCCAGAATCGTTCCTCATGGCGTTTGAGACCCCTGTTAGACCACACCTAGAGATATTCAGCACGATAAAAATAATATATAAATATTTCACATAACATAGGTTACATGAATACAAACCAGTTCACAGATTTGGTCATTTTGGTAATGAGAAATGACTATTATGTACAATGTTAAGCCAAACATTAGATGCCGTTATTCATGGCATATAAGAGGTGTGTTGAAGCAGGCTCAATTCTAAATTAGGAATTATTCGATTACTGTTTGAATCTTCCAATATTCTTGAAGGTGGGGCGGCATCGCAGTGATGACCATGGGGCGTATGCGTTCGTCATAAGGTTTTGACGACAAGGTGCACACTGACAAATGCGATCTCTAGGATCACATTTAAATGTAGGACTGGTTAGGTAAGCCCGAAAAGTGAATAACAATAGCGGGCAGCAGGCGAAATTCGAAATAGAAGCACAAAAATAAGCAGGGGTGGATCAACCATGACACATCTGGGTGACTTCTTTGTAGTGACTGCAAAACTTACTTGAAGAAGTATCCAGAACCAACTGTTTAGAGGTAAGCTTAGGTGGAAGGAGATGAAGGTGCGCACGGCAATGAAAATTATTGTGAAGCCGGAGCTATCACTACGAAATAGAGAGATTAGAGGATTTTAAACCAGGTATTCGCTTGTTATATATCTATGTACAAACGTTTGATGAAGTTATGAACATTTGGGTGAAATTCATAGATTTTCCTAGATGGTAACCACCCTTTATCTGGTCAGGGGGGGAGGATGATCATGGTTTTACCTGTTGAGTACTACCATATCGGGGCTGCCGAAGCAATATGTTGGTGCAGAGCACTTACATGTAAGCACTGAAAACAAAGGGAAAATAATAAAACATGTTCCATGCTATGAAATGCACCGACAGGCAGTTCTTTTATCAGTCCGAAGTACAGAGATTATTTTAGGGGACGAATTTTGAGAAATAGGTGTTAAGTCGTTAGATCAGTTAGGTTATGAAGAAATGTGGGTTACATTGGAGTAGCTACTGAGTTCACTGTTGCATATTGTATTGCACCCGGTTTCCTGTTCACTCTTGGTCATTTTTTTAAAGAAATTAGATTTTAACTTAACTGTTGCGTTTACTTTTCGGCATTGTATGCTTTTGTCATTGCTGTCAGTCTCCCTTGAGTCTAGGTACTAGTAGCACCATTGTACATGGTATTACCGTTTGTCAACTTCTTCACACAGAGCTATTGAAGGAAAAGAGGTGACCTGGTGCCAGCCTACAAGATCATTCACCAGGTGAACTACCCAAACGGGTCAACATTATTAGCCCAAAACCGACAGTGCCATGACAGCCCCACTCGCATACCACACCATAAGGTAAAGACGAAAGTGAAATCAAACTTTTCTCACATGGAATGTGTGCCCTATGAAAGGCTGTGCCTACAGAAGTAGCCACGGCCGCCTCAGTTGACTACAATTATACTGGATAAGCACGTGAGCGCAGACGGCATGACATGAACATCGATCAGTGGCAGCTGAGGACGAGCTCACCCTCTCTGTGTTCTCCATCCCTGGTATCTGAAATGGAATGCATCCCCCTCTCCATAGAATTACCAGTAGCACTTATCTGTCCACGAGTACTTTGCACTCCACCCTTTCTCGTTCCCCACTCACCCTTAAGACTTACCTGCAGGCGTTCACTAAAGCAGAGGTCGTGAGAGATTAATTGATGTTATCGGAAGCTCTGTCACTCCCTGAGACAAACCAAGGTACAATTTGCAAGAAGAAAACCTTCAAATAGACAATCGCTGCCTCTAAAGCTATAAGCGGGAAAAACAGAGACTTCTCCGACCAACGAAGGGTTATAACTGATAAATGAGCCGAACCTCAATAACCGGAAGAGAGAGCTTGAAACCTACAAGTTTCCTCTACTCACATTACTTTGTTGGATATTGAAGCAACTGACTAACTTAAAGTCCCTAAGCTAAGCTTTGATTCGAATGTTACGAGTGTAGAACCTAAAAAGTTCAGTTCACAGTGTCCAAAATGTAAAGATTTGACGTCACACCTCATATCTGAAGACTGTTAAGTGACCTCGCGCAGTGGACTTTAAATCAATCAAACAAGTTACGTAAAGGGGTGACCTACGAATGCCACGTTTGAATGTATAGTCAGTGATGGGCATATCGACCCTTCATTTCCATGGGGTCTGCCTGCATGCCTAATCATCTTGCTATCATCTTATGTTTAACAGTCGCCTACTGCTTACATGCATTCATCCCCGAATATGGAAACTCGACTAGTCACAGGCACTGGTTAAGCTTCATAAATGTAACTATGTCGAGTAATGAAAAAAAGTCTCATGCTGATCTAGTGCATGAAATGTTTGATTTCGCATATCAGGGTTATTTAAAGTATGGTTTTCCATATGATGAACTGAACCCAATCGATTGTGTTGGCCGTGGTTATGATCATGAAAATCCTGATAACATAAATGTAAATGATGCTCTAGGGGATTATTTGCTCACGCTTGTGGACTCTCTTGATACTTTAGCGGTAAGTAAAAAAATTATGTTTATTTGCCAATTAGGTAATGGGAAAAACTAAAGACTTTAAGCATGCGGTTGATTTAGTTATCAAGCACCTGTCGTTTAATCAGAGCACAAGAGTTCAAGTATTCGAAGCGAATATTAGGTAAGTTATGTTTCTTTCTATTTCCTTAGGGTTCTAGGTGGTCTCTTATCTGCTCATTTCCTAATAACTGATCCCAATCAGACTTTCGGATATTTACAATCTCCAGACTATGACAATGAACTCCTAGATCATGCCCATGACTTGGCCGATCGAATGCTCAATGCTGTTTATGTAAGTTATCTTATTGCACACATTACTCTGTAGTTTTCTGCACTATGCTGGTTAAAAAGGCCTGAGTACTTCATTTGACATTGGGGTGATGCAAACTGTCCTCACCAGTAATTTGATAACAATTAGCTGCAATTCAAACGACTGATAAAAAGTTGGAGTACTGACTTGGGAATATGAAATAAGTAAGTTTTGATTCACTCAAAGTGTAACACGTTTTGGGAAGATACCAGTACTACTGACTAGTTGATGAATGTACGTCATCTAGGTGATGCTGAATCAAATTGAAAGCTGTTTGGTTACTTTAGAATCCTTGTGAGCCACATTTCGAGTGCATGCGATTTAATCCTTGCAACTTGATATTGATGTAAAGCACTGGAGCTAAGAAAACATGGAAATTTTTGTCTTTTTTTATATGGCGTGTAATTACGTTATAGAATTACCAGTAGTGGCAACGAAACACAAAAGCCAGAAATAGTTTCCTAGAGGAAAAATCAAAGTGTTTTGATTTCATGTAGGACACGAAGATTCTTAACAAGTTCACTGTGCTGAAAAATGACTACTCATAGCCCATCAAACATGACTAAATACAACAAACTCCATTTCAGTCTTCATTAGAAATGTCACACAGGGAACAGACGGAATCGTTTACTAGATAACATAGTTTCGGACACAATTTATTGCCCATATTCATATCAGGTAACTCCACAACTTTGAGACAGACAGAGCTATAGCCGAGTTTTTCTCTAGATTTTTTATCTTATTAGGATTTACTAATCTGATTTAGCTAAGTTTTTGTGCTCCGATATTCTAATCGACTCTGGTCGATTACTTTCATCTATGTATTTGACCTTGCAAGCATTGCAAGGAATTTGGTAAGCCAAATTGTTTTGCTCAATTGGATCAATAGGATCTTTTAACCTGCACAGCTTGTTTCTAATGGAGTTTATGTGTTTGAGTGCTACTTTAATCCCAGCCTTATTGAGAATTCTTTGTAATGTTACTGAGGTGCCTTCCTTGGATATTAACACAACAGAGGCTTTCAACTCTGTTACCATTATTACTACTAGTGGGTAATAATTGAGACGCAAGGTATTCTTGGTATGCCTTATTTCTTGTCGTATATTTCCCGTCCCATTAGTAAGCTATTCTGCCCTATTACGTAGGCATTTAACTAAGCTTATTTTAAATGAGACGGGATGAGATGATTTGGTGGCGAAGAAACGATTCAAATGGAAAGGTTTCCTATAAACACTAGTCTATAAACTTCCGTCTTGTTTTCGTTTAATGCTACAATCGAACATTACTAGCTTCCATATTTAACTTCGAGTTAATTTTGGGACTGTTGAAGAGAGGAGTATACTTACCAGTCATACAGGAAGATTTTATGAAGAAACCGTAAGATACTTTTTAAAGTAGATATTCCTGGGTTACAGATGCATATTTTATACAAATTCATACCATACTTAGGAAATGATACTATCAGAGAATCTGCGAAGTCATCAAGACAAATTTGAGAATAATTTAAGCAAAAAATAACTATTACTTTCGTTTTGATTGACACTCATCACTATGGTATGCCTGTAATATCGGAGACCCGAACTCATGTGATCCTGTGGTACAGCCAGAGATGTTACCATTTAGCCTTCTAGGACAGTATTTTATTCCGTTGGTCTCTGATAAATTCTCCATTAGGGATGTCTACTCTTTTAATCTTTACTTAACTTCGTTATGGATATCTTCGTCTCCTTTTCTAACTACGCGGATTGTCTTTGTTACACAAAACAATTGACCTGGAGTACGCAGATAAATAATTCCTGTTAGGCGGATGCTGAAAAGATACAGTCTTCTGAATACGAGTGACACATTGAAAATATTTACTTCACGTTTCTCATCAACTAAGTGTTAATTGTTCTTCCACAAGCAGACTACGTGAATACATCATGTTAAGGTAGACAGTAAAGTGGTTAGGGATGTTAAATACTAGCTTGTCATTGACCAACGAATTCTCTGCCTGAAAACAAGAGGCTCAATTGGCTTTTTCCAACTCACTACATCCATGGCATGCATGAGGTAATCAGTTACCTACCAGAGGTTCAGAGTATTGCGTGGCAGCTCGCTTTGTCATCGATAACCAAATCATGGCCACCAAATGGGAACTGAAGAAAGTTACTTGTATTCGACCGTCGTTGCCTTCTTAGCAGTAGTTGTGCCGTGGAGCCATCATATAAGTAATGTAGAGGCCAAACACGGATTTCCAGTTATAAGAGGTGAGTTAAACTTATACTTTCATTGACTCAGGTAGTTGGGATTTGTGTTACGCATGCCTAGCTATGGTCTACTGCGACGTGCAATGTTACCATAAGTCAGTTGGGACTGGTAAACATCTAAGGTGACACGGCTAAAGCCTAGCATCAGTCCGTGAAGTCTATGAGTCTGAGTCTGAGTCGTGTACATGGAAACGCAAACTTGAGGGTTTTGGTCAATGTAACAACCGAAACAGGTGGTTGAAGACTCTAAGTAATTTGGCTCGGTGGATCTCAGTGGTGAATGCGTCCACTTATCCGTATCTTAATCCTCATACGATATGTTGCTTGTTTTATACCCTCTTCTTCCCTTGTAATAGTGTTTTACGGCTTTCGCATACATTTAGTCTCTTATTTCCTCCTTTCATCTTACTACCTTGTATCTTGATGTGCCGACGCAGTGTGGCAACTCTAACCGTTGCCTAATAGTACCAGGTCCGATGTTTGTATTAACTAACCGAATAATACTTCAGTGGCATGAATTTCGACTATTATGAAGTAGTTAGTTTCTATATATTCACCTATAGCATCTGTACTTCCACGGAGTTTCCTGAGACTGTTCTTGGATATGTCAATCAGTCCTCAGAATATATCTTGTTTCACCATCTTTTCTTCTGGTGATAATATTTAATGATTTTGAAATGAGTTCAAGGATTACAGCTTATTGTGATTTCTGATTGCCTTGGCCATTAATTCGAAAATTAGTTTGATTTCGTGTGAAGCTGAGTGAGTACTGTCTAACAATTAATGAAGGTGAGTACACAACAGGCTTACATCCAGTTGAAGCGTAACAGTGGAGTTAATTAATAATACAGGTTTATTTCCCCTACGGGCAGTCGTGGAGCCAGGTTAAAAAGACTGCAAAGAACAGAGTGAAATGGCGACGTGCTACTGAACCCCCATGTTCCACTAGGAACCCAAGGGACAAATAACAATGATAATAGTAAGCACTGGACGATCAAATTTTTGACAAAAAATTAATATCGCTAGCGCAACTTTCATTTTTATTTTGTATGTTTTGTGTTTTAAAGGATACACCAACTGGAATCCCTTATCCTAGATTTCATCTCGATTCTGGCCTTAAGGACAACACTACAACTGAAAACTGCCTTGCTGGTGCTGGTTCATTACTACTGGAGTTCGGTTGTCTAAGTGCCTTACTCAGTGATTCTAGTTATGCATCAGTGGCTCGTCGTATTGTATTAAACTTATGGAAACGAAAGTCAAGCGTATCTGGACTCTTTGGTGAGTAGTTTTCTTGTCGTTTTAATTGAGAATTATTAGTGGTAATGTATTATTCCAATTATAAGGTTTTGTTGCTTGTTCGTTTTGTTTCAGAGCTCATTTGTATGCTTTAGAATACACACTCCTTTTGAAAATCTCAGTTACAAATTACACTTTTATGTAGTTGACGTATGCCGTTTATTGTGTGAAGTTTAAGCATGATGCAACTGCTCATGGGAACAGCCACCGGATATTCCACAAATGAGAATGCTTATGTGTACGATGACGTTTACAGGTAGGTAGTGACAGTATTTATCAGGAGGAATCTAGGATGGTATTCTGTTGCTGTAATCACTACATGCTAATCCAAGTGATTCTTTGTTAAACACATTACGCATAAACAGTGATCTTGATTAGCTCGCAACAGCGTTGAAACTTTTTCTTATTGGTTAGTATACCGAAGAAATGTGGGCCTGTATCTCTTTGGCCTAGGTAGCCACGGATTTTAACAACGTTCCATCTACCAAGATTTGTGCACTACTAGACGATAGATGCTATTATCTGTCTAGTGCATAAACCGGCATATGGTTTGTAGGCCACATTATTGTTTTTTAGATACTTATCATCATCGTTAACATAGGACCACGTATTACTGCTTAGCAGCCCGTGTTGCCACAGCTCATATCAGTACATCAAGTAAAAAGGTAGTGAAGTGCAAGGTAAGAATAAGAAAATTCAGTCAGAAGAAATATAAAGTACTCAAAGAGGGAGAGAGGAAGGAAAAATGAGAAAATGGTGAGATTCGGTATAGCGTTAGGATGAGGATAATATGTGTATACATCTTCACCATTGACATCGGTTCCATGCCATATCACCTAGTCTCCAACCACTGGTCCCTCTTGTCCCGCGAACCCCAACCACCTGGTCTGCATCGCCTCACACGGCTCAAACCAACAGTCAAAGACTTCATACATTGATGCATGTTTTATTTTGGCCGCCTTGAGCCTTTTTCCAGACTGAACCTACTTCGGCCAACATTGTGTGATGAGGCAGACGGTGGCTAAGCATACGTAACACATGTCCCAGTCAGCCGTCTCAGTCGATGAAGGTTCACAACCGTGCCAACTGATTTACCTCTTCTCCCTAAAACTCTACACCTGACTTCTGCATTACTCACGTGGTGACACCACGGAATACGGCCTATACTACGAAGGCAACGGTGGTCAAACACCTGAAGCCAGCCTTCTCATGTCTTCCACCTCCAATGGCGATGTTTCACAGCCATGCAGTAGAACAGAGCGGGCTGCTGTGCAGTACACGCAACCCTTAATAGACAATCGGATATCACAGCAGCACCACAGGTGGCGTAAGTTGGCAAAAGCCAGTCGAGCCTTTTGTATTGGTGCAGAGATCTCATCGGCCACTGAGCCATTAGGGCTGATCCTGCTTTTCAGGTAAGTGAAATGGGCGACACACTCAACCGCTACTTTCTCTACTGTTAGTCGAGGCACTATTGGAGACCAATCCTGGAGCAGCAATATGCATTTGGGTGGCGAGAAACGCATCCCAAACATCCTCAGATTCCCATTCAAAGTGTTTAGAAGGCTGCATCTTGTCAGCGTCTTCACCTAACAGGACTATATCATCTAGGTCTAACGAGAATTTTCCTGAGACTAGGTCAACCTCTGTGTAGTCACGTGACGCGAGGGAGACCTCCATAAGAATATCTATGATGAAATTGAATAATAATAAAGAGAGTGGGCACCCTTGACGGACACCACTCGACGAGTACAGCTCCCCGGATATCTCACCATAGACTCTAACACGCCCACAAGTGTTCGAGTAGGGAGCCTTCAATAAGATGATGTACTTACTCGGCACGCCTTTCAGTGAGAGACATTACCATAAGACTTCTCGATCAACTGAGTCGAATGCCGCCTTCAGGTCGAGAAATACAACTATTGTCGGGCGTTGGTAAGCGTGCCTATGTTCCAGAACCCGGCACAGTGTGACCATTTGATCTATACACCCGCGGCCGGGTTTAAAGCCTCCCTGGTTTTGTTGAACTTGCTATTCCCGAGCTCCACTAATACATGTCTAATGATTATGGAACCTAGAATCTTAGATACTATGTTCGCCAGGCTGACTCCTCTGTGGTTATCACAATAGGACTTCTCACCTTTCTTGAAGACAGAGATAATAAGTGATTTACACCAGTCAGAGGGGATCGTATTTGATTCCCATATACTAGTTAACACTTCCGTTAACCTGACTAAGAACACCTTACCACCATCCTTGTATACCTGTGGAGTTAGTCCGTCTGGTCCTGCCGCCCTTCCTCGTTCCAAGTTACCTACTGCTTTCTCGACTTCTGAAAGTATTGGGGGACCTATCCCTATGTTCCATTCAGGATCCTATTGGATCGCAGGCAACACAATGGTGGCTGGAGGCCAGTTGAACTGTTCCTCGAAGTGTCCTGCCCATCGTTTCAGTCGTCTCCTCTGCGAGTGAATCGTAGACCCGTCCTTCTCCGCTATGGTCTCACTTACCGCAGTTGACCTTTCCCCCGAGTCTCCTTAATAAGTCTAAATTACTGTCTACTGTTACCAATCGCCGCTGCCTTTTCCATCTCTTTAGCCTTCATTGCCCACCACTGTTCGCGGTCGTTGCGTAGACTTTTCCTCAGTCTACTTTTAAGTTGTGCTCGCTCTTCATTGTACTCAGAGCCTGCAGGGATGCGTCCACGTGCATCCATTATTTCGGAAGAAGCTGCTGATATCCACTGGCTCTTTCTATCCATTCTTTCGGAGTCGGCTACGGTCTTCAGCGCTGCTTTTATAACAGACTGGAGATGGCGCCAAGCTTCTTCTGGGTGAGTGATAGTGTCCTGTTCCGATAACTGCCTAACCAATTTTTCACTGAAAGCGGCTTTGATGTTTTCGTTGTCAAGCTGCACTCGTAATGGTTTTGTTGCCAAATATTTCCTACGTCCATTGAGATGCAGACATATACGCTCTCGGACCAACGCGTGGTCGCTACCCAACCCACGTACTCCAGAAGGAGCGGCAGTCTTCCACCGATGCTCTCCAGCGATGACTGATAGCAATGTGGCCTGTCTGTGTCCATCGCTGAGCCGAGCTCGGTGGACGCCAGGTCAGACAGTGTCTTTCTTTGTGTCTGAAATTTGTGCTAGCTAAAAATAGGTGGTTATCTGAACATAGTTGTAGTAGGCGATCACCATTATCTGTTCGTTCAGCCGGGATTCCGAAGGTGCCACCAAAGTGCCTTTCCACCTCACTCAGTCTACCCACCTGTGCATTGAAATCACTTGCAACAACCACCACGTCTTAGCGTTCGGCTTTGAGAAGGAGGCTAGACAGTTTTCGGTAGAACTCGTCCTTCAGTTCATCCCAGCTGCAGTCAGTGGGTGCGTAAGCAGAGATTACAAAGAGACAACGGCGAGTTTCAATACTCCTTCTAGTTGTCACTGAGTCGTTCAGCCGGATACCGCAGGTGACTATCAACTGGGATCCAGTCTAGTAGTAAGCCTTCTGCCCTAGTGCTTAATGCTATGCCTACACCTGCAAGACCACGAGAGCTAGCTATCGAATCTCCAGGAACTCGAAGGGTGAAGTTTACGGATTCACCAGATTGATCGGGAGAGGTCAGGTTTATAACCGAACTTGGGTCCTGTGTGCAAGTCTCACAAACACAGTATACATCCATGGCCCGAGTTGCTAGAGTCTTGACCAATGAAGCCTGTTGACCAATTTGACGGAGGGTGCGGACATTGAAGGCCCCGATGTGTAATTTGGCGCGTGATTTAAGGAGACCAGGGATGCTGTTCTGTGGACTCAGATAGTTTTCGAAGGCTTCAGAGGTAGGAGAAATGTAAGATGATGTAGTATTGTTAATTGAGAGACGTGAATAAAGATTAGAAGATAGTGATGAGAGAGGTGGATAGCAGTCTGAAGAAACTTAAGTGGAGACAGTTTTGAGGGAAGTTGACACTTCCCTACTGCCCACATCGTGGAAGGCTATTTCTTCTTAAGGTACCTGAAAGAGATTTGTGTGACCGCAGAGTCTATTGGACATCTGCTTGAGGCCTGTCACACGCAGCCTTTCGTGTATGATTATTTCGAACTTTTGTTATTTTGGGGTCAGATGGTCGAAAAGAAACGACAAATGAACCAACACTGCCGGCCCGACAGACTGTGGGGCATGGTGGTGTGTTATTTGGGGACCGATCTTTTCTAACCCCCTCCCGGCCAACTTCCACTGAGAAGGTAGCATCAGCGTTGCACTACTGGTCATCCAAGGGAAACACCTTACTGCTATCACATCCAGCTAGCAACAGTGCGACTTCGCCCTGAGACAACCATCATAGTGTAGTAATTTACAGGACAACGGTAACTGCTTTTCGTCTAATTACTATTCAACAGACCTTTCTGGTATGATAGGACCTCGAGAGAACAAGTGTTCCAGCAGCGTAGCTCTTTGGGCCATTGTGATATGCTAGCCTGACCACCACTTCAAGGTAGCAGCTATCGGTAGTTGACAGTTTCGATTCTTTTGCGCGGTTGAAAAACCATCAATTATCAAATCGTTCCGGTAAATTATAAATTGAATGAGGCATCTAATTTAAGTTTAACCATTCTGCTTTTGACCCTTCTTGAGACTAATTAAAGTTTGCTCATATCTCAATTATGATGTTTGTTAGTAAAATTAGGAGGGTCAGCTGACAATACTTTGCTGTCCTTCCTTAGGAATTCCTTGGAACTTAATTATCCTGAGTGCTGCGAAGACAGTTAAAAGTGATGAGTATTTCAGAATATTTTAGTGTATGTCACTTAGTTGTCATGTATTTTCAACATGATGTTTTTCCATACAAGGAATGGTTAACATATGTAAGTAATTTGGATTCAGTATGGGAAAGTAAACCTATCTCTTAATAAAATTATCTCTTAACATAGACAAGTTATGCAAAATAAAAAATTTGCTTTGAAACCAAGGCAATAAATATTTTCACTCAACTACAACTAAAAGTTTCTCAGTATTGTCTTTGAAAGCATTGTCAATGACATATCTCAAGATGAGTCGCAGGGGTTTTAGATGCATGCATTGTTTGTCATCTTCGATGCTTTGGGCCTTTTTAATAAATCATTAATTTATTCTTTGTTTTCCTATAGGGTTTTTCTACCTGAATGTCATCCCTTTCCTTCCTACTTCTTTGTGTGTTGCTTTGAAGTCTAGGAACTTGAATGGTAGAACTTCTGTACCACGTTCTACGACGATTTTTCTGCTTGTTTTGACTCAGTAGGATGTTTTGCATCAGTGTTCGTTTTACAGTAGATATCAGTGAACATTGTGTATTGTATTTTTCTTCTTAGTGTGTAGCAGTGACTTCTATTCATGTAACTGTCAATGTTTTCATTGTTTATGATATTTTGATTACAGACAGCTTTTCTAGCTTATTTGCCTATGAATGTGTTTTACTGTAGAAATTATTGCAGTGTACATATTCTGAGATACTATAACAAATGTATGTTTAGCAACTTACTCATGAGTATCACCTGAATCAGATTCATTCAACCGTTTGTCTGAGTTATGAAAATGGACAATATTCTGTACACATCAATGTTTAGAAAAAGCGAGGAGTATATTACAGAAGACAACACAGAGGACCCACATTCAAAGCCTAGATTTAAAGTTAAATTCCATATTTGACTTTTACGAACACGTCATTCAGTTTTAGAAATACAAACTAAAACAGAAATACGACACTTCAGTCAGCTGAAATTAGCAAAAAGCTATAGTCATGATAAACTAAACACCAAAGGATGGTTTAAAGTGTAGTTTAGGGGGCCAACATTAACAGAAACAAAAGTAAACAAATTGCAAAGATTTGTGACCGTAATGTCATAAGGTTTTATTTAATTATCTATTGTGATCATAGAGAAGTTATCAGTTCAAAAGTTCAACTTCGCACCCACCTTCATCTCACAGACTATGATTGATACCTACTTTTTTAAAACCAAAGTGCTACTTGATCATCCAAGTAAAAGTATAGCTACGACTCAACATATGTAAATTATTAGCAACCGTTTGAGCACAGGCTCAAACCATTCCCACTGCCTTTGGTTTAATGTTATCAAACATCAAGTACTACCTATAGTCTAGTACATAAACACTAACAGTGCCGAAAAATTATAGGTTTAGTAACCAAACTTCACTTTGAAGACTGTGCTTCATAGTTGTTCATCTAACAATGTAACTCCCATTAGGAATCCACTAAGTTTCTTTATTCCACTTATATCATATATTTATTCAGTAATCAGGGAATAGTAGCTCGGCAGTTTAGCCAACTGATTTTCAGCTATCGGTTCATAGCTTTAAGTTCAGTCCGACATGATAACACTTTGATAGCTTCGGAATGTCATTCGCACTAACAATGTGACAGTCATAAATGACTATTTGTGTAAGTGCTGAGATACGCTGTTTTATTTATCTACAAAAGTTTCGTAAAAGTTGGAAAAGTCAAGATATTTATTCTATAAAACCTATAGGTTCGACAATTGATGTGAAAACGGGTGAATGGATTAATCGAATGAGTGGTCTAGGGGCAGGACAAGATTCATTTTTCGAATATTTACAAAAAGTGAGATGAATGTCTGTTTTTTCTATATTTTAAATGCAGTGAATTTGTAGCTTATTTATCTTCCAGTGATACTATCCGTCTTAATTGTATATGACATCCTACAAACTGTTCCCCACAGTTGAAGATTTATGACAGTACACTTTAGTGTGAAGTTACTCACTCTAAAGACCAAGCCATATAAGTGATTTACAAAATGTGATATGAACTTCAACCTGAAAATCATGTTAAGATGCATCTACCACACTGAGATCAACTTTAAGCCACATCAGTTAGAGTCTTCACCCACCGATTTCAGTTGTCGCACTGACTTCAACCTCCAAGTTTACGTTGCCATGTACAAGACTCACACTACCAGCCATAGACTTCATAGACTGATGCCAGGCTTTAGTCTGGTCATCTTTGATGTTTACCAGTCCCAATTGACTTCGGGACATTTCACGTCGCAGTAGACCATAGCTGGGCATGAATAATACATACCAGCTACATTAGTCGATGGAAGTTCATAATAATCAGTAGCGTTACATTGTTTACTTTCATTATCCCATTAATGTGCGTAATTTGGTCCTGTTCAGGGTTGCTTTCAGTCAGAATAGCTCAGCTTCACTGTTGTTAAGTGTTGATCGATAAGGTTTCACGTTCCTGGAGGAGTATAAGTTTCTTCACGTTTGCTGATAATGACTCAACAAGCATAAACCTTGGGTTCTGGGGTTTCTACCGATTTTCATCGTATTTCCAGTGCTTTATATCTTGCCCATATAAGAATATACTTTTTTCCGAAATCCCTTCACTTATTTTGAAACTGTGGTTCACTAGTTTAAGTAGTTGACTTTCACTCCATTTACTAAGTTTTGTACATGTGCTCACATAAGAGATATGGCTCGTATTCTGTTGCAGGGACCTGCACGTGTACAGTGCAGCGTGGAGTAAATGACACTGATAAAAAAAACCCAAATAAGTTTTCGTCTCACCCACCTACTCATGACCATGTACATTTTTTTCCCATCGTAATGATATTTCTGAGTTTTACCAATCATATTATTTATTTTAGGCCCATGTTCTATTTGGTGATAATTATTTGGGACAACTATTTCAAGAAGCATTGGATAGTATACAATATCATTTACGCACTGGCAGATCAAAATGCTTAGTTGGACCTGGGTCACCTCCAATATATTGGAATGTAGATATGTATTCTGGTAAAAAAGTAAATCATTGGATTGATACTTTACAGTCAGCTTGGTCCGGAGTATTGGTAAGTCACTCCTTAAATAACACTAGTGATAGATAAGTTTTTGGAAAATTAGAATTTACTTCTGTTTGTGGTCCTGTTACATTATTTAGGTCTGCAATATTTTTCTCTAGGTTGAATGAATGTAGGATGTTTTCAGTGCAAGATACACTGAGTTGTGGAGCTGTAGATTATTATACGGTGAACCATGGGGTCAAACTGCACTTCATGTACTATGACTTGGCTGATTGAGGGGTACTTCACAAACTCTTGGACTTGCGGTTCATAATCTAGTAAATAAACCTATGCCAGAATGCTGAATCGCATTATTTGTATCGCTTTAGAGATAATTCTGATATTTTGAATTACGAGTAAGCAGATGTTAATAATCATTGCCAGTCAGTCAGTAAGTTACTCGATATCAGCACGAAACCTAGTATTATTTCTTTATAGGCCAAATAGCCACAGTTCACATCAAGGTAAAAGGCACCAAGATGGGAAAATTGGAAAGTAATCCAAATCCATGGAAAGTCGTCAAAAGAGAATAAAAAGAAATGAAACAAATCACAAAATGTCATATGATGATTAGGATAAAGACAAGTTGTGGATGCATCTGTGCCACTCCGATTGACTTGGAGCCTTCAATCACCGATTCTGGTTGTCGCAATGATCTCAACGCGTAAGTCTACGTTGCCAATGTATACGGCTCAGACTGTCAGTCACAGACTTTATTAACTAATGCGAGGTTTTAGTTTGGTAACCATTTGATGTTTGTCTGTCTAAACTTATTTTAGGTAACATTACATACGGGATCGGCGATATAAATAGTCCTTGAGATCGTTATGTCATGATTCTACCACTAAGTGTGTGTAACCCAAAAAAACCAAAACGATCATTTGTAGCAAGGGTATCCCAAAAATAGGTGCTAATTAATCTGATATTGTATATTCCTTTTCCTAACTTTTGTCTTTACTAGTTAATAGCTTATACTAGGAATAATGACTAGTGTAGATTGCTTAGACATCCATCGGCAACAATGTCAGCATGAAGAAACACATTCATCTATAATACTCTACTTCCCGGGGCCTACAGATGTTCACCTTCATATCACATTTTAAAATGCAAATAACTTTTCAGTGTGAGTGATTTCTATCGCCTCTTGTTAATTATCCTATTTCTTTTCTGTTAAAAATCCAAATCTGCGCACACTTTAAAAAATATTATATCATGTTTATTAGGTTCTTCATGGTGATTTAAGTGAAGCAATCTGTCACCATGCTATACATTATTTCATCTGGAAAATATACGGATTACCACCAGAACGTTATAATATTGTGGTAGAAAAACCGGAACTCTTTTTCTATCCACTTCGACCAGAATTTGCTGAATCCACATACTTTTTGTACAGAGCTACAAAACATCCTTTCTACTTACATGTTGGTAAACAAATTATAGATGATTTAAATAAATATACACGAACTAAGTAAGTCTTCTTCATGCAAGATCGTTTTAAACTTAGCCTATTTATTTGTATATATAAATGAATTCATGAACTAGTTCACCCGGTTGCTGACACCATCTTGAAACGGATACAAACTGTCCATTTCACAGTAACCTATCCATATGATCTTTTACTTTCATACAGTTGAAAATGAACCGTACCTATTGTTACGAGGCTAATGATGCTACCTGGCTGTGCTCAGACCTTTGCAGACGGAACGAGGTTCGAACACGACCTGGTGATTGGAGGTCGAGTTCCTAGACTAATGGGTCACAGCTCCACAAGCAGTATGCAGCACCAACGAGGTAGTGTACTGCATATGGAAGAGTAAGTGTATTTTGCTTCACTGCATATCTGTGAGACATTGCTTCTGGAGATGGAAAACATAAAGTTATACATTTTTCTATTTTACTTGTCTGTGTTCAGTAACTTATGAGTAGTAAGACTACGAAGTTGAAAATGTTAACGTTCCGTTTAGAGTTTCAGGTAAGGAAAATAAGTCAGTCAGTGGGTTTTCGAACCAGTATCGCTCGAAATGGAACCTGTGTAGCATATGTTGGCCCTCCATTTTCCATGATACTCGCTGTTAACTAAAGTAAGATTGGTCTGAAAAGAAACTAAAGGTGGACATAGTAAAGCATACGCACAACTGCAGGAAGTCTTTGACTTTTTCTTTGACTCCAATGTTTAATCATAGATTATCTGGTCGGGAGTCCGTAAGATGTCATGGACCAATAGTTAGAAACTGAATAACTGGGCTTAGAAATTGACCACAGTGCAACAGTTGTATTCATCATTTATCACTTCGAATTTTTTCTTTACATTTGCTTCTCGTTTATTCTACTATCTTACTATTTCTATTTAATTCCAATTTCTACACTCTTACGAAGTGTGTGTGTGCATGTTTGTATTTGTGCTACTGTGTGGTGCGCAATTTCGTTTTTCTTTGATTTGAGTTTTAAATGAAATACTCCATGATTTCTCTCAGAGTGACCAACACTTGAAGATAAAATCATCTTTATTCTAATCTTCTTAATCTAAATGAATTGATTTTCAGAATGATGGAGTGGGATGATGTTTATCTGTATGGTGAAAAAGCCAACCGAAACATCGACAATTAAGATTGTATTTATTATGAATAAAAGTATATGCTATTTGTTTGTTTTCGAAACAAAATTCACGCAACACATACAATAAATAAGATAATAGTATGATGTGAAAAAGATGATAGGATTGAGGGAAAAGCGAAAAGCAGTCGAATGAGATACATTTTAGAAAGTTCTGATTTTTCTTCTGTACTAATGTGTTAGGATAGAAAGTACAAAAAAGTTACCTGAGAATAGTAAAAATACTCCTAACATAATAATTAGCCTGTCACACTTAACTTTGATCTTATAACGTCACCTCCTAAATTGGTTACTGTTGTACCCGTAGCCGGAAAGAATGAGAGCAACAACTGGTCAATTACAAATATTCTTCATTTACCTGCTTTTGTTCTCATTCTTTGACATTCTGATTAAGCCACTTACGCCTTAGGGTTTTGTATATTTTCATTATATTTTGCTCAATACAAATAATTGTTTATTGTGTCGACTGGCCATTCTGAGTCATCTGGTGTGACGTTAGTGGTTATGGGGTCAACTCGCCCATAGTAATTCGGGAAATAATAATAGTTGAAACCACCGCTGGGCTTTTCCTCAATCTGTTAACCATAGGATCTAAGAAGAAATCGCAACCGAAGTTACAACCGGGACATCGGCCAAACATAGGTCAACCCAGGGCTATTAACAGTGGCGACGAGGTCGTCTCACAGATACAACAGTTACTGTGTTTATAATGAGTTGTGATGATTCAGACAAAAACACCATAGATACATAAACTAATTAGTCATGTTTGTATGTCTCATTCACTTCTAGCCAATATACAGATCTATGCGACGACTGAATGCATCTTCCTCATCGTATTAACCTTTCTTATATATGTGACTGATTCACCGTGTCCTTGTATAAAGATGTATATCTGTATATTTGTGGCAGAGTTCTTTGAATTCAGTGTATTGTGTAGGCAATAAGTTTTGGGTGTCATGTCAGTTATGTTTTTTTTTCTGTAAGATCCTGAAGTACAAAATGTAATTAGTAAAGGGTGTGAAAATTAATTCTAAACTCACTTTCAAAAGAATAGACTTAGTGTATTTAGTACATCATGCAGTCATACAGTATTATTTACTGGGTGTTGTTTTGAGCCTAATTTATTACTCAATCATATCAATAGCGGGATGATACGTTAATATGATTGTCAGCGAAAATTCGTGCTTGAAATATCATTCATTCAGCAATATTGTATCACCGTGTCGTATCAAGTAGAGTAAAGTAACATGCACTTGTACTCTAACACAACTTCCAAGGTTATTTTCTTAAACTGGTTGGTGTGAGAGCTGCAAAGATGGTTTGTGTAAAAGTTATCCTAGTCACCGAATCTGATAGTTTAAATAATATCGACTAACAATATCCCCCATGCCGAAACAAATGCTGCATGACTTCATAATCACTTACATGGTATTGAAATTAAAAGCAGGTGTAATACTATATAGATGATAGAATACAAGCATGGTTAAGCACCTTTAACATAAAAGTGATCATATGGAAAATAATTTTATCTGGTCTGGAAACTTCTCTATGTACGTCATCCGTTCTTGCTGTCATCTGTCCTTATATCCTATGGGATTTTTATCCATCCGACAGGTTTTTAAAACTTCTTTTTTCTGTTTTACATCGTTCATGAGCGTAAATTTATTCATTCTTTAGGTTACACTTATTGTTGATTACTTTATTTTTACATGAACCAGATAGCAACACTAAATTGACTCTTCACAGTTGTTTAATTTTTTAAGTCGTCCACATTTATCAATGCTTAGCAGAAAAATAACCTTGGTGTAATTGTCACAGCCTGTAATATTTCCAAAAATCTACTTATTGTACAGTATCTTCGAATGCTATTAATAGCGGTACTATGAGCAATATGATTTAAGGACTAGCTATTGTTAAGTCATGCTTCTGCCTGCTCCCCTTTCCATCATCTTGATTTCATTATTTTGCTGTTGTTAATAGTTTGTTTGATGTAATGTTGGAGAGTGTCCAATTTATAGATTACACGGTCCACTTTGACATGTCACAGTTAAGTACTCTTTCAACTACCCACCTGTGGTGTCAGTAGTTTGGCTCTATGAACTAAATTTGTCCCGGTACGCCGTTGATGAGCAAAATGGTTGTCCAATGGAGTTAGTTAAAAACAAAAAACAACAAATAATGAAGTCAGGAGTCTTAAAAACCTTCACGATAAGAAGATAAGGGAATAAAGGTATATCATAATCTCTTCACGATTTAAATGAAGGTAAGACTTGAATGCATCTATGCCAAGGCAATGGACTTAAAGTCTTATACATTGTAGTCTCAAGCAATCTAATACTTTTACGCTATTCCTGCTTCAGTTAACAGGGAGATAAGTTGTGACTTGAAGTATTTTTCTTGTCCAACAACTTTTATCATCTTTCAGTGAGGACAGTTTTCATTAAAATCTTCACATAGATAAAGCTTATTTTTTGCAAAGAATTCAAGATCCCTATGCACTTATGTGGTCATCAGTAATGCGATAAACTGTTTCTAGAAGAAGAGTGATATCAAAGGCAAAGTTGTGAGAATAAACAATCTGAAAATCAAGGTTAATGCAAATATTCAGCCTTTAGAAGATGTCAAGGAATGTATACGTCTTCGTCATTGTGACCGATTTGCAACCATTTCAGCAAGAGCCTTCAACCACTGGTTCTTGTGGTCTTGGGCATCCCAGCCTAACAGTCTACATCTCACACGGATCAGACCAATAGTCAGGGACTTCATCAACTAGTTCCACGTCTTGATCTAGTCATCCTGAACCCTCTATCAACTTAGTCCAACTTCGCCGAGCATGGCACGTCGAGACAATCAGTGGTTCGACATGCGCAGTACATGTCTAAGCCATCCCACTCGACTAATGTTCACAACTTTATCAGTCGATGTCCTTTTCCTGTTTAGTACCTTTCACCTGACCTCAACACTGGCCACACTGTGATCCCACCAGACGTGAGCAGTACTATGGAGACACCTGTGATCAAAAACCTGTAACCACTTCATGTCTTTACTTCTAATAGCCATGTCTCACAGTCATATAACAGGATAGAACAGACTACAGTGCACTGTACTCGTCCTTCGATAAATAGTCAAATATCTCTCCAGTTGGTGCCACAGATGACGCGGTTTAGCGAATCCCAAACGGCCCTTTTGTATATGCATTTGCTTTTCCACTACTTCCCTTTTGGTTAACTATACAATATTGTGAAGGCTTATACAATATGCATATAAGTTGTAGCCTACTAAACGAACGTGTACTTGGTTGGTTACCGATTCACAAGTTATGTCTTTACGGAAACCACTTTTTCAAAACTTTTTGTTTTTCATTTGCTGTAATAAATTATCCTTATTTAGTTGTTTATTATTTCTTTGGGTATCATTTTGTTCTTCAGATGTGGTTATGCCACTATACACAATGTGATGGAAAAATCTAAAGAAGATCGTATGGAAAGCTTTTTTCTAAGTGAAACATTAAAGTATTTATATCTTGTGAGTAGAATTATTGGTTGGTATAACACAAGTTTGCGATTGAAAATGTCAATGATTTTAGCGCCAGCATATTTTCTATCTCATAACACACTTTAATTTTGCTGGTTTTTTCATAAAAAATTCATCATCAGAAAGCAAATTATGAAGGCCGGGTTGTTTGGCGAAATTAAAGATTATAGGGTGTTTCGTGTGACTGAGTCACAAAATAGGAGTATGGATCTATTTTAACAAAATTTATTGTATCTCGGTTTGCCATACAACTATCCTTCTTATTTGTGATGTATGAGATAAGGCTTTGGTCAGCTGGCTGGAAAATTAACTTTTCAACAGTATAGCAGTGTAATACTGTGAGAAGAAACTAAAACTCGGTAAACGGCAAAATATCAGCCGACAAAAAGGAATTTTCGGAGTCTTCATTTACTAAATATAATTAAACATTACGTATATTGGGTCATTCAGTAGTCATGATTGTTGTGATATATAATATTGAAGGCAGTTGTTTTACGACTTTTCTATAATTCTTCGAAAAATGATAAAAATTCGTTGAGGCAAAGCGGATGTTATTTGAAGTTGTGTGTCAATTTTGATTGGGACGTGATTTGAACTAATCCAGTCTTAATTCTAAATCGTTATTCGACGTAAGTTTTCCTTCGACTTGAGTGATTTCTCTCGATAGTAGCACCCAGTTTTTAACAGAGATTGCTTTATTCTGTTTAATTAGTGTTACTAGGAGAGCTGGAGGTGGATATTAGCTACCACTCATACCTCACTTGGTGGCCTTGTTAAAATCTAGTTTTTTCAACGTTAACCATCATTACAATGTACTGAAATCAATCTGCCAACTAGCAGCACTTCAAGCTGTTTTTTTTAATAAGTAAATCTGGTGTTGAAAACAAGTTGATCAGAGATTACTGAAATGTTTTGAACATATTTGTAATGTATCTTGATTTAGGTAACGCAGTTAGTATTTCTGATGGTATAGTTTCCAACCTGCTTGTACACTCATGGGTTGTAGTTCAGTTGAATTGAAAGATGAATTCTACCGAAAACTTTCTAGCATCCTACTAAAGGCCAAATCTTAGGACATGTTCGCTGTAATGGGCTAATTTAATGCAAGAAAATAAAGCTGGGCAAGCAAACAGATAATGTTGATCGCTTACTACACCTACTTTTAACCAGCATACGTTTTAAACACAAAGAAAAAACTGTCTGACATTTCAGTCACCGACGTCAATTATCGCTGGCGAGAAGGTCATTGGGAGATTTCCATACCTTCTGGGACAAGCTCTTGGACAGTGAACATGGATTCCTTCCAGTCACAAACAATGAACCACAACTTTGTATGAGGGCGAATGGTATTATCTGGATGCCTAGATCTTGGTAGTTGGAAAGAGGTTGGAATCCGTGACTTCATTGTTTGAAAACTATAAGCCACAACTCCACTTGCCTCTAAATGAATGTAGGATGACTACAACTGAAATACTTACACAAGTTCAATTCGATTGTATGGGTGCTAAGAATGCTCTTCAAAAGGAAATTACTAGACAGTTATAGGGATATGACAATGCTATTTATCTTGGAGAAACTTGGCGTTATCTTCAGTCTGCTGTGAAATCCGTGATAAAGACTACGCCTGACCCTCTAAAAATGGTAAGATACTACCAACGAATTTCAGCAGCTTTATCTGAATTACTGAGTGCATGTAAACGTTTTCTTACAGGCCCTGAGTACAATGAACAACTGAAACAGTTTGCGTGTCATTTGATAATGAGTTTACGTAATAACTGTGACCGGTGGCAGGTCTCATAGTCAAATGGACTCTCAATCACTTTACCGTCTATTGAGACCATAACAATTCGAAAATCCTCTTCTGAGTTACAAATATCCTCCACCACCGACTAATCAATATTGTTCAAATTTCAGAAATTATATTTAGGTGTTTCCTAATACTTAAGATCATTGACGTTTCATTAAAACTTTGAAAAACTATTTTGGAGATCACTTACTAGTGAGTTTATGATAAAATATCATATCATTATTGAATTGAAATATTGGCCATTTTTAGCTTAAACTCAGTCACTGCGTAGTGTATTCTGCTTTTATATGAAGCGACATGTAATTGTTTACTAAGTAATACATTCATTTGTCAGTTGACATAACCCTTCCTTTGTTTTTTTGTCGATTTCACTTCTGGGTAGACCATCTTTTCAGGAAAACAAATGTTTGAATGGAGAACGAACGACTGTCAAGTGTTAGACTTTTTAGACCCCATAAAAATTGCCACTAATCCAAGTTCTCTCTTTTAGTATTTTATCATACATTATCAAAGTGTATCAAAATCAATCTGTTCCACACAGTCGAATTAATACATTTAATCTCTTTCTCTCTGTCTGTCTGTCTTCTTTTCCAAGTTGTTTGATGAATCGAATCCTGTAAATAAAAATGAACATGACTATGTGTTTAGTACACAAGCCCATTTATTCCCAATCAAGCGAATTCGTGATATGCTTCAAAAACTTGATAGAAATCCGTTCGCATCAGATAATCCTCAGGGTAATATTCCATCCATGAATAGTTCTGTAAGTTTTCTTTTTTCTACATCATCTGAATTGATATTTTCATTTCAAAACAGTTTTTTGCTGCGTATATCAATATGAAAGACATTTGTAATGTGTCCAACTGCAGTGTCCGTGTGGGGAAGCGAGGATTTCCTTGAGGTTGCTGGTCTCTTCAAAGAAGAAACATGTCGTATAATATATCACTACACCTTGGAGCCAAAAACAAAAGACGGATAGGGTAAAAACAAAGAAAAGTGTGGTCATAGTCGGTTTTTAAGATACGTTCAAACACTAATACATGTGTTGCACAAAAACTACAACATAGTTGCCACTAGTTTTGATTCTCAGCCATATCTGCAATCATCTCAAGCCACTTAGTCTCAGAAAGGGTGTCAGATAGCATAACGGTAATGGCTATACTGGTGGTCATTGTTGGTTAAGGTCAATACAAAGATTCAGAAAACTATCCTTATCTTTTGGCCTGCAACCGACTAGTCGCCACTAGTCATTTAAACGATTTTCATTTGAGCCAACATATCTGATTTGCACATTCTGTCAGGCACACGCGGTTGAGGTCACTGAGTTGATGCTTTGACTCAATTTTTGCTACAATTCATCGGATTATAAGCTGAGATGAAAAAAGGATATCGTTTTCACTGCTAGTTACTTCTCACTCTCGCCAAACATTTCAGTCTAATAGCACATAAACTATTGTTAATTAAAATTCAGTGAACTACTCCAGGTTTGGCTCTAGCTTTTAGTGGGATATCGACACTAACAAGGTTGGATGCCTATGCGCAGGATTCTTGGATAAGTGCACATTGAACATACGTTTAAAGCTGACAGATGAAGTTATCTGAAGCACTTATCTGGGATCCTATATGTATGTCTCTGGGGTACAACACTCGTCAGGAATATGGCTTCCGAAAATCCTAGCTAAACATGCTTTCTATCCGATCTGCCTTAAGTTTTTGATGTTTTAGGGGGTCAACCTAAACCATGCATTTGGTTTCAGAATAGTTGAATCAGATATCGCATTAAAAGACAACTTTATGGAAGAAACTGGTTGGTGACTCAAAACAGTATAAACAGACATGAATTTCTAACAATAATGAGCGGTTAAGTGAAATGTGTATAAAGGTAACAGTAAAAACGATTAAAACAAAACAGTATAGCGTATATCAAGGTACAAAGACAACAATAAAATCAGATTAATAATTTGAATCATCGACTTCATTTTGTGGGGAATTGATGGAATTAACGTTTCTTATTTTAGATTATACAATTATATCACCTTGAGTTGGATTAAGGCCTAAGATACTTCAGTGCCTAAATCGAAACATATGGTTGTCTTAGGAAATCGTTTTCCCAACCCTTGTCTTGGAGTCTGTTCTACGGAGCAGTGGTGAAACATCAGATTCTGTATTCACTTGGCTATTGGAAAATCGAATCCCTACCCTATTAATGCGTTATGAATCCTGATGCACCTCCTGTTTAGAACCGGGGTTGCCCAATCTCCTTGGGCACCCACCGTATCCACCAACGTAGCTATAAGCGCAGGACTTTCCTCTTCACCGTTTAGCTTTCTTGAAAACACGACCATGTGACGGTAGTGGATTCCACATGGCTGTCGGAGGCTGAATTTACTGTTGTATCAAGGCGTTTCTAAATGAAAAAAACAGGGTCGTTCCACCCCACTGAACCGCGATATTCAAGTGCTCAACTTTCAATTATTGGACTATGAATTCAAATCCCTAGCCAGTTTGTATCACTGACTCTTATAACATCTGTAAATCATGGAGCTTAGTGTACAAAAGTGTACGTAGCTACAGAGTTATAAATGTAGTTCCTAGTGGATTCCAGGTTGTAGAATTGTACGTTAGTGGTGTACACGGAGGATTTTATTATTATTTGTCCCTTGGGTTCCTAATGGAACAGTGCACTCTTTTCTTTGAAATCTTTTGTACCTGGCTACACGACTACCCACAAGCTCTCATTTCTTCCTCACACGATCCCCTCCATGTCACCCTCACCTCGGACGACCGAATCGTCGCTTCCTATCTGGGTTCCACTCGAGTACCTGGCCTGGTGTGTGATGTCCTCAAATGGCCTTCTCAGTGTATGCCCAACCCAATCCATCTCCACTTTCTTCCGCATATTTGTTGAGCGATAGCTTTTTGGTTGGTTCGTTGCCAGACAGACAGCCAGACAGACAGACAGCCAGTCAAAGTTCCTTGTTGCTTATTCTTATTATTCTGGCCATCTGATCTTCAGTATCGAGTGAGGGTAGGCGACAGTTGTTGATGAATGTCTGTAGTTTGTTGGAGATGCTTTTCGTAACTCGCCAAGTCTCTGAACCATCACATAGAAGCATTGACTTGATTGAGTTAGTGTTGAAAATCCGGATGTTGTTCACGCTTTATGCTGAGTGCAGTAGATCTCCACACTGATTTCAGATTAGTGAAAGCCTGTCTTGCTTTTTCGATCCCAGCTTTGACGTCCTCGTCTGTGCCACATCCACCTGTAGTTGGAACAGTGCTGCTTAGATAGATGAAGTAGGCTACTTCCTTTAAGTTTCTCCCGTTGATGGTTATTGGTGTTTGTCGTTGTTGGTTGGGTGTCTTCATCACCTGTGTCTTCATGACGTTCACTTGAGGTCCCGCTTTCGCTGCCTCGCCTCATGTCAACTTGTTGGTTTTCGCCTATAGATCGTCAAGTTTGTGTGACATCAGACGCAAGTCATCGGTGAAATCCAAATCTTCTAGGTTGTTTTCCGCAGTCCAGCTTCTCACTGTTTGTTGCATGATCCAGTCCACCACAATCAGGAAGATCATGAGTAATAGTAGACAGCCTTGTTTCACTCCTGTCTTCACTTTACAAGCATTTCTGAGCTTTCCATTGTGAATTACTTGACATGTGGTGTCTTCATATAGTTGTTGAATGAGGCTGATAAAGGTTTGTGGTATTCCGTAGTATTGAAGCAGTTTCCAAATTACTTCTCGGTCGTACACGGAGGATACGGTTTCCAAACTGCATGAAACATAAAATCTTATGAAGATAGAGTGATTCTTTAAAATACCGGCTTTTATTTTCTGCATCATGGATTATAAAAGAGTTATTTTGATTTATATCATATGACTTGTCATCTGAATGTTGTGGGCTATATTTAAAAAGTTGTTCAAGTCAGTGATAAAATCATATGACAGATGAATGTGAAGTTGATTAGGGAAATCTAGCAAATTCTAAATTGTTCAAAGTTTTGAACTTCTATAATTGAAATATTATTGTAAAGTTTTTCAGTTGAGAATTTTGACGTAAATTTTATTTTATTTTTTCAACACTTACGTAGTTGGTAGTGCGTAAAAAAACAGTTTAGCATACTGCACTCGGATAGATATTTTAAAATAGATTTCACAACCCTGTATTTTGATTTCCTTTGGAGGTGTTAGCAGATAATAATACAAAGCCGGGGGTACAATGTGTGCGTTTATTCTTTTTTTGAACTAATGAGCGAAAAGTCATGCACATATTTAGGATTCCCTTAGGTGAACTTAGGGACTAGCCGTTTATCGAGCGAGTTATGGTGCTAGATGTAGAATTTTACAGATGTTCAAATTTCTGAAAACAACATAATTTTCGAGTTCATTATTGGGGAACTGTTAGTATTTTCTAACATTAGGCTATATGTACAACTACAATGACACCTGAATAAAATCCCAAACTAAAATTTAGGCTCTGTAATGTTTTTATAACCAAGGCATATATGCATTTATAAACTGTTTTGATAAAAGTTAACTGGACAGCTAATACCAAAGATAACCAAAGACTTGTACGGTATAAAATGACTACTGGTATAAAAAGATGCAGAATATCATCTCAACTGACTATCACAATTAATCTTCTCTTGGTGAATGCATGTAGTGAAGGAATTCTAGTAGGTCGCCTTGAGTGAACTCATTTATCATAGGTGCTGGTGAACATGAATTTTGTAGTCAAACGATCTTCATTCTCATACTGTTTAAGTAATCACAGATACAATATCTTTCTTTATTTAAGTACTCTGAATCATTTCTTGAACTTCTTACATATCACTTTCGAAACAATTCGGAAATCTTGTTCGAACAATGTCATTTAATGCAAACTAACCACTTATTCTCAAGATTTATCCACCTTAGCTTCTGCTTTCTACAAATTTGTATGTGGTATTTGTGCAAAAATTGGATATTTCTCTTTGATTAAAACTGTTCCTAACTGTTTAGTTAAATTCAACACTGCTGCACTGTATAAATAACCTTCCGTACAAGGTGAATATTCCTAATCTATTGGATAAAAATCATTCCACACAGTCAACTGTCTCACTTGCTTCCACTTACCTCAAGATACCGCCACAATATCATTCAACTCTGACAAAGATACCTGTGGTCGAAACCCCATAATTGCTTTGTCTCACATCTGTATGACAGGACAGAATGAAGTGCAGTACAGCATACTTGTCCTTTGATAGATAGTTGGATATCTCGCCAGTTGGTGTCACAGATGACGCAGGTTGTTGGCAAATGCCAAACGGGCCTGTTGTATCTGAGCTGAGATTTTGTCAGCAACCATCCCGGTTGGTCTGATGCAACTCCCCAAGTAAGTGGAATGGTCGACACATTCCACCACTTCACTTACTATCATTAAACTGGGAGTCGTTGCACACAAGTGCTGCAGCCTATTGTTTGGAATAAAGCAATTATTTTTATTATAGTATTATTATCACCTTTGGTTATTTCTTTTAATATCTCATATTATCTTCTTATGGTTTTTATGATAGTTGACGAGATTGATTTTATTTCTCTGTCTTTCATTGTGATATCTTGTATATTGGTGTTCCTTTGTCAAGTGTAAGAACTTGAACAGCTACATAATAATGTTAGGTATCATATTGATATTGAATAACTGTCTACAATTATCCAAGTTAATCATTTTAAAGTTATTCTCATCAATTGTCATACACTTGTGTTATTTATTATTCTGTCTAAAAATTTCAAATTTTAGTGTTTGAATGTCAAGCTAACCAGCTTTAAATATCCAATGAATGATGATCTTTGGAAGGAAACAGGTGTCTATGTCAATTCGAAATTTCTCTACCTCCCAATATGAACACTGTGATTTGAGGTTATCCTTGTAATAAGTAACCTGTCGTAATTTGTTCGTCTACTTGTTTCTTTTATTTCTTCGTCTCCTATAAATTAATTCATCTCTCCTTTCCTATCCGATGCTTTTGTAAGTTAAATTTTTAAAGAAGGCGACATGCTCTCCTAAAATTAGAGATTTTTTTTTATAATGATTTTCTTTCCTAATAATGTATACATTAATGAATAATATTTCAGACTATTTTCTTGCCAAGAAAATGAGGGACGGTAAAAGTGATACTTTTTTAGTTAATTCTTCTCGAATTTTCTATATTCAGTGTTATTAATATGTTTATTTGTACTGAAACTGTTGTTTCATATGTGCTTTTTTCCCTTTTAAATACTTTAGGATGCGAAAAGATAGATGTATTTATATTATCTGTTTATTTATTTATATTTTTGGAGGTTTGCTTATGTCGAAGATTCTTCTGTACTTTATAAAATGGATTATTTTTTCAATTGAGTAGTAAAATAATCATTTTTGGTATTATTCTGTGTACTGTGAATGAGGTGTATAACGACTATCTGTTAACATGGGGACTACACTATAGCTGTGTAAAGTAGCGAATTAAGGTGGGTAACCTCTTCATGAGGTTACAGGTAGTCGTCCATAGATACTGTTGTCGCATTACTTGTCTTCAGTAAAACCACTGACTGAATGATCTCGTTGTTAGGCGCAAAGTTATGGGTAAGTTGGTTAAGAAGGTGGTGAATAGGCCCCAACTAAATAGCGTTGGAACGTTTTGCGTATTTCCTGACGTAGCTTGGAAGCGAATTATGGCTGGTTAGCCCATAACAAAATTCCCTTGTTGCAGTGTGAAGAGTCAGTTAATATTTACGTGGAATCTGGTGTTACTATATTACGATCCAAGTTGTTTTACCTCGCACCACGGTACAAGGTAAAGAGAAATAAAATGGGATGGTGTGATCGAAAGCTATAGGAAAACGAAATGCAATATGATGAGGGTGAGACGTAGATGCACCTGTGTCACTACGATTGATTCTGAGATATGTCGCCTGGGATCTCTAACTAACGATTCCAGTTTTCACGCAGCATAAAGATATGCAGCTTTGAAAAGTGAGATAAAATTCGAAATCTTGAAGGGAATATTCCAACTAATGAATTAAGAATAGATTACAGTATTTTGAACAGAACGGATGGCTAAAAAATCTGATAGAAGTCTAAAGTCAAAGAATAATGTGAATGTTGACTTCATAATATAATGATAATAACAAGGCATTAAACAAAGTAAGCTAAGACAGACAGGAACGTACAGCAAAATACGAATCAGGCGGACAAGCTCACAGTAAAAGATCCTAAACAAGTGTATCGGTTGGACTTGCCACCTTTCACTGTGATCTACAGAAAGAGTGATATCAAAGTTGTGTGAGGTAATAAACAGTTTGAAGATTTGGGTTAGTGCGAATATTCAAGCTTTAGAAAATGTTATGGTGTAATTTGAAGATGAAGTTTATCTGAACAATGTGATGTATTTGCGCAATACATTTCGAAGAACACTATCTAAAATACGAGTAATCATTGAAAGAAATGCAATTAAGAATAAATGTGCTTACAATACATTCTGTATATTGCCATGGAAGATTTCAGTGAGCAAACATTTCCTTCATGCGAAGTTTTGGTCTGACAGCTTGTATCTCATGATCTACTGTTACAAACATATTTTACCACTGTCTTCTTACTCTTATCAGAGGAGAATTGCCACCATCAATATGTCTGTATTTCACTATATGCTTAATTATGGAGCTTCACAAAGTTATCATTTCTGCACGCTTCATCCATTTTACTAGCCAGATGCCTCTACATTGTATCCATATATTTGCTTCCACAAACATTCGGATGCATACCCACATTTTCAGTATTAAACTCATGTTTTTCTGAAATTGTAGCAAACACCATTTGGTGGTGCTAAGAAACACGATTTTAACAACACGATAATTTATCTTTATAGCATTATCTGTCATTCGCTTAATTAATTCTGTCACATCTCAAAATTAGTACACTGGTTTAGACTGACCTCTACGAACCATCAGGAGTGTTTGTTTGTCTTCGACAACTTGAACACATTTTTAGATGAAGCCCTCTGGCGAAATGAAATATAATTCGAAGATAGTTTTGGCCAACGGGATTGTGAGTCTCTGGAAAATAGATTTATAGTTCGGTATTTCCTGGAAATGCATAATCTCGATCAATTTTATGCTAAACCATTCATCTTCATATCTCATGGCAGTTCCGCACTAGATAAAAATCTAGTGTTCGGTGCTTTCTTAATTCTATCAAAGCGTGTACTTATGTTGTGCATTGATGAGGAGTTTCAGACTACAGAGAAACAACTTTACATCACTTTCTAGTTTGCAATATCTCTTAAGGTGACTGAATGGTTTGGGAAGCGTACGATGATAGTTGAGTGCATTGAACTACTTGGAGGGTATACAATCGACCGTTGTTTCCATCTATATCCCATGATTTACTGAAATGTAAGAATATCAAAAAGCGCAGCAATATATACATAATACAAACAAAATTTCGGTAGTCAGCAACCTGAAGCGATCATTTTTGTTGCAGTTACTTTCTGTAAGGTTTTTAAAAAGATATGGGTTTGCGAAAAATATCAGTCAATTCTTTATGCCGTCACTTGAAGCACACAACTAATAACTTAATACACTTAGTTATTTACTACAAAGAGGATGAAAACAGATCAGTTGAGATAACTATCGATTTCCATTGACTAAAGAGCCGTTTTAACGAAGGTCAGTCGATTCATACCATTCTTTGAATTGCTAATCATATGCTGATTATACATCTTTACTGTTTGAAGAGAACAAGGTATACCCAACAGCTGTGAATTCACAGTGAACAATGCAACATTAGCACATTCCTTGTGAAACTTCATTTAAGATAATGTCTAGAATCAGATCAGAAGCTATGAGCATAAATTCCCAAGTTTATATGGAAGCAAAAAGACGAAGATATTCACCGCATTCGCCTATTATCAGAGTTAAAAAGCAAATAGCAAAGTTGATATCTTTTTAGCAGAGGTAACTGATCTCTAAATGTTTGCTAACACGAGATCTCAATGTCAGCTATTTGACAGTATCACTTCTGTAGAAGTTGGAGATACGCCTCACTAACAGATACCAACAGGTACGAAACCTAATTTAAGCAGGGTTTCTTGTCAATTATCACCAAATACGTAAAGTCTATTCAAGCATGATCTACTGAGTTTCAAGTTGGTATTCATCACGGACTGACATCGGTTAGAGGAACATTGAAGATCTGGGAGAACTGGACAGCTGTTTCTTCCTAGTCTGGGATCCCTCAGCAATGCCCACCCATGAATCGCCAGGGGTCGAACCCAAGATCTTCTGGAAATATGGTAATCATATCAATTTTAACATATGTATCACAACCCATGTTTGTAAGTTTACTGTCTCTAGAATTTTGAATATATCCGGTTTTATTGAAAGATGTAGTACACGGCCCTCACTGGTGTTCAGCTTGTTTGTCTGTAGCGTCCCATGATGATATACACAGGTGACTGATATGAGTAGTTGGAATAATAAATAAAAAGGCAATTGAGTGAGGATTTACATCAGGTTTTACCAGACGATGAACTACATTTATTATGCGACAGATTACGGTAAAGAAGCATTCGAAATTTATCATTTCAAGCCTGGACTGTGTTCAGAAGTATGCACGAACTTTCAGCAATAGGACTCATATTCTTTAGTGTACACAAATAGAAGTGAGGAAGCCTGTCTGTCAAGTTACAGTTGAGTAGATCAAGGAATAGTTGAGTTTTGTAGTCACTTATTTGATATATACTTATGCAATAGGAGTATTTAGGTTACTCGTAAAGCTCATTCTTCAGTTTATCGGTTATGCTTACGTAAGCAACTGAATGTCATTTGACAAATATTAGAGTTAGATAAAATGAGTGTTCATTTAAATTTATCTGACTGAAGATTTAGACAGTACAGAAAGAGATCTTATTTGTATATTTCGTGAAATATACTCTGATTTTAATATTAAATTGAATGGATATTAGTTCCTTATCCGAAAAGACAAATTTTGACACTGCGCCAGAAGCTTTTGTGCACTTTCTTGTGAATTTCTTAAATTGTTATCTATTAAATATATGATTTTTGGCAAACGCTTATTTGATAGGTAATTTCCTTTGCATCTGTTGGATTTATTATTCTATAAAGTGATGTACAGGCAAAGATCGTGGTAGTCAACTTTGTGGCTAGCAGTGGAATCGAGGATGCACGTTTAGTCCTATTTCTGACTCGTCAGGTGGATGTACATGCACTCTAGTGAGTGAGGCTCTTTCTATCGAGACTAGAACTCGGTACCCATCGCTTTAAATGTCAAGGCATTATCCACTAAGGAACGACAACCACCTACTGTGCAACGGGTATCATTTGTTGTTTACTGATACTTGCAATTTCCCGTTCTAAGTGGGAACAAAATCACTCATCTGGGTGCAGGCAAATCCAGCTGATAAGTCTTAAATAAAACAATATGCTCGTTTTAGATTCCAGTGATAGCCACCAAATAGACTACAATATGTATATAAAGGTAGCTAGCGCACTAGTTACTAGACGTTCCTAAGCCCGGATAAAGAAGGAAGATTAGGCATACGGCTAGCAACCCTACCCTGGAAAACCAATCCAATCGCTTAAGAAACTTCAAAGCACAAACAAAATATAAAAAATAAAAATAAACTTATTTTTCGTTGGAATCAAGAAGACGAAATAACACCTTCGGGAAGCCAATCGGCCCATGTGTCTTCTCTCAATGAAAGTGAACGTAAACATGGGGACATGAAATATCCGCACTGTGTTTGAACTTAGCAAGGCT